TCCAGTTTCTAGCCCTCCCCAGATCACAGCTGCTCCCTCTGAGATAGTGATCATCCAGGCCCTCAGCAATCAGCACGCAATTCCCAACTCACCCACCTGGATGTGCCCTGGTCAGCCTGAGAGACAGAGACCGGGAGGGGACAGAGCAGGCTCCATGGCCCTCCCTGCAGCCCACTCCTCATCTGCAGCAGGAGGAGGCCACAGCTGGACGTTTGAGGGCCTTGGCCCAGCCCTGGCTTGGGCAGGACTTAAGGGTATAAAAAATAACCTACATGTGATGGTTCATTTTCAATTCTACGTGCCTTAGTATAGGTTTAAGCAGCCCACATGGTCATAATAAAGAAGCAAAATGTACTCAGCCACCACCCCCTCTCCTTCTGGCTTTCCCTTTCATACACTGGCCAGGAGCCTATCGGTTGGGGCCCCCTCAATGACCCCCTCCCCACCTCACCAAAAATTTAGTTTAGGCTAGCTTGCAACATAGATAATTGTACCCTTTCTTATCAACTAAGTGCAGCCATTAGGGCCATAAGTCAAATGTTTAAAGAGTCCTGAGACAATAGCAATGCATTATGGGCTGCACCAAAATGCAGCAAAAAGACACTAAGGAACATACTTGAAATCTTAATCAAACTACCAATAGATGACATCTGGGAAAATCATAAGCCCTTGGTACTCAGCTAATGAGGAAATGGGGGAGGGACTTGAGCACTAGCGAATACATTGTTGAAATTGTTCAAACCGTCCCTGGTGTGTCTGCATTCCAGACACCCGATATTGCAAAACCATCACTCACAGTCTCACTTTTGCTCTTCTCCGGGTCTCTGAGTCCATTCTTTGGGTTTGGATGGGTGCGTTTGTTTCTCATAGTCTAGTGGCCTGTATGGGGATCTCTGTGCTTGTGTGAAGTGAGTGAGACTTTGCCTGAAAGGGGAAACACGTACCAGTTGATTCATGTGGCCCATTCTATCTGGATGTCCCGGCTCCTCACAGAAACCATAGACAAACTTGAAACTGTATTCGGACACAATGAAAGTGACACGGGGGTGTAGAGGGGTGGAAAGCAGGCACCATGGCAAGCAGGCAACCTCGTGTGTCTTGTGGGAGACACTGAAAGTACTGTGGGTGTCGCATCACCATGAGAGACCTGATGGATGTGGGGTGGTGTTGGGGCTGTCTATTGTATCTACATAATCCAGCAAACTGTCCCTGAGGGAGCCTGGTGAGGCCTAAACAATGAATGAAATTACTCTAGGTATGGCCAAGTAGGAGTTATAATTGCAGTTTTTGTGTTGTCTGGATATCACTGGTAGAGCAGATCAATAAATCCTTAGGCACACGGCGTGCAGCTGTGGATTTGGTAAGTGCATTCCTTTCCTCTCCAATTAGAAAGGGGATACGGAGTGATTCATATTCATGTAGGGTACACAACACATTTATTTATCATTTGCCTCAGGGCTATTGTAACTCCTCTGCCCTCTATAGTATATAGTCTTAAGACTACAGTAGACATACTGGATATCCTATAGGATATTCAATCAGCTCATTTCATTGACAATTTCACGTTGACTGGGGTGGATGAACAGCAGGTAGGAAGTTGACATTCCTGATCCACATGCTAGGCGGTGCTCCTAGCCCATTATCTCCCTGAAGGACCCACTTGGCAGGGAAAGTTTCAGTGTTTCCATGGCTGTGGGTTCCACTAATCGTATCACCAACTGCACCACCCAGGGGCTGCCAGCCACAAGGAATGCTGGACAGGTCTTCTATAGGCACAGCTCAGTGCCAGCCTGGAGGAAGCACTCTGAGGGGTGGGTGCCATCTTTCAGAACATGGTACATTGTTTGAATCAGAGACGTCTCTGTGGTGCTGTGTTCTCAGTGGAAGAACATGTGGGTCCAGAAATCAAAAGGTGGAAGCAGGTTTGGCTCCATGTCCAATCTCTTTGATTCACCCACTAGGGTATTTTGCATGTTTTATCTCCCAACACTGGGCTGTACAGGTTAGGAGGTCCTGGTTTCCAAAGGAGGGTACCCTTAAAAGGAGACAAAAGAGAGCCCGTTGAACTACACATTACTTTAGTCACCGCAGAAGTTTGGACAATGTGTGCCCAGAGACCACCTGGTGAGAAGAGGAGTCTCCTCCTCTCCAGGCCCAGGTAATAGATCTTCATCTTCAGGAGGAGGCATGGCTGCTTTCACACAGGAGGGCAAAAGCATGTGTGGAAACCAGAGATCCACCTGGGGGCCTTCTGGTTTCCCTTACCTCATTGTAAGTGTGAGCAGAATCATCTAGCAATTCAGCCTGAGAGGATTTGATTTCCAAGGGCACAGACCTGTCAGGGCAGCAGGATTGAGTCACACTCGTGGGTAATCCCCCAAGGCCCTGCTCCTGTGCTCTGACATCCTCAGTAGCATTGGTGCTGACCTTCTGCTTCCCATGGGCTGCAGGACCCTTCCATGGCCTTGCTCAACTCTCCTTAGATTGCCTGTGGTCTAGGATATGTCCAGTGAACTCTCTCTCCTTCTGTCCATCACTGGGAGTCACACTTGCATCTTGGTCTGTTGTCTTTCCTGGGGTAATCTGCCTCCCTTGCAATATCGTCTGACAGGTGTGTCCCCTAATAAAATGCTGTAACTTTAATCCCATGGTGGCACTTGCTTTTTGGAGGATTTGGACTACAAAATCATTTTCATCTGCACACCGGTGACCTCTTACTTGCTCCAACTTGTAAAATCCTTTTGTTTATTCAACTTCTTCTACTTGCATTGGCTCCATTTTGCTGGTATTTGTATTATGGTTTTGAATTCGTCGATGTTTGTTGCTTTAATCACTAAATTTGGGGGTAGTTTGTTACACAGCAATGGATAAACAAATGAAGCCCTCTTACATTTCCATTATTCTACAGAAGTTAACTACATCTGTTTTATTTCCTCCCATTTTCATAATATTGGCCATACATAGGGTTTCTATTTTCTCACGTCTATTCTTTTCTTTATTTTAGTTTCTTTTATTTTTTGTTCCTTCCGTTTCTCCTTCCTTCTGTCCCTCCCTCCCTCTCTTTCTTCTCTATTTCCATTCAACCTCTCGCCCTCCTCCTTTTCATTCTGCTTTCCTTCCCCTTCCCCTTCCTTCTTTTCTTCTTTCACTCCTTCCTCCATTCCTCCTTCTTTCCCTCCCTTCCTCCATTTTTTCCTTTTTATTATGAAATTTTCCTAACATATAAAGTAACCCTATGTGTTTGGGCTATAAGTAAGCATTTTCTGGATCTATATGTCAAAAGTATAATGCCATGGTAGATGAGAAACAAGTAAACAGCAGGAAGTTATTAACAGAATCTAAACAAAAATGCCTGCAATAATTCTGCAGCCAAGACAGTGGCTTTCAATTCAATTCCTTCAACTCAGTGTTTTTAGAACACATCATCAACATCAAGTATTACACATTTAATTCAAAAGTTTAGGCCAGGCGTGGTGGTTCACGCCTGTAATCCCAGCACTTTGGGAAGCCGAGGCGGGTGGACCACCTGCAGTCAGGAGTTCAAGACCAGTCTGGCTAACATAGTGAAACCCCATTGTTGCAATCGGTTACTACGGGATATAATGAAGGGGACGAACACAGAAATAAAGACAAAGACAAAAAGATCTGTTCTGAAAGAAGGGGTTGGGGGCTTCTTGCTACTAGTGATTCCTTCTGGTGGCAAATGCAGTTTGTCAGTTTGCCAGCATCCTGTTTTCATGAGAACAGTTTGTTGTTTGCTCATACAGCCTCCAGTGGTATAGTGAGTTGATCACGACCCTCATTCTTTCGGCCTCCAACACCCGGTCTCTACTAAAAATGCAAAAATTAGCTGGGCGTGGTGGTGAATGCCTGTAATCCCAACTACTCTGGAGGCTGAGGCAGGAGAATTGCTTGAACTGGGAGGAAGAAGTTGCAATCACCCGAGATGGCACAACTGCACTTCAGCCTGGGTAACAGAGCAAGACTTTGTCTCAAAAATAAATAAATAAATAAATAAGTTTAAGTTGGCACAATCACTTTGGAACTAATATTATTATTATCTAGTACGGTTAAAGTCCATACAACATATAATCCAACTCCTAATCATACACTCTGCGGGCTTTCCTGCCTATGCGCCCAGGAGACATGCACACTAATGTTTATGGCAAAAACTAGAATCAGCTACATATACATCAATAGAAAACTAGTGCAATCATGGTATAATCATAAAATGTAAACCTTCAGCAGTAAAAATGAGTGAATGACAGCCTCCCACACCACAGATAACTCCTATACGTAATGTGCATCATGGGAAAATAAATGCAGTAGGAATTTGCTGTACTGGAAGCTTAAAAACCAGCAAAACTAACTAATATTTGGATTGGGGATATATCTATATTTATTACACAAATCTTTAAATAAATATAAAGGAAAAATAATCACAAGACTCAGGATGGAGTCTCCTTTTGGGGGATGTGAATGGGCAGCAGCCAAGGGTAGTTTACAGGTTCTGTGTTTTACAACAGTGCTGGCTAAAGTCCATACAACATATCCATTCCCTTTTAAAAGGGAACTTTTAAAATAAATTTGTAATACTTGATGTTGATGATGTGTTCTGAAAACATTGAGTTGAAAGAATTGACTTAAATTCCTAATTCCTTAAACAGAGTTTTTCAAATTAAAATATACCTGGTTTTTATAAAAATGAAAGAGAAAAGAATACCAAAGTTCATGGCAAGCATCCTTAACAAGAACTACTTACACTGGAAGAAAACGACAGAGAATTGTAAGGAGCCATGTGACAGAGAGGACCAGCGTGCCATGAAAATGGCCTTGGCTACAAATAGGTCATTTGATCCTTGGCTCACTGGCATCTCTCTAGATTTTTGAAGTATACAATCTTCAATCTGATATGCAAGGTAATTCCATCTTGCAAAGGATTTGGTGTTACATTTTACCACACATACAACCGAGTTAAACTATTACAGAATTGGAAATGCACATCATTGATCAAAATAAATGAAACAAGAAAAGAGTAGAAAGGAATAACCAGTGATGGAATAGCAATATGAATAGAAAGCGCGATAGGACTGCTAAAAGAAAGAAACAAACAAACAAACAAAACCACCTCAGAAGCACCTGATAGCAGTGCTATTTAGAATCATAGTGGTGTCCCAATCACTTCTATCACATATCATTCAACACCACAACAAAAGATGTTAAGTGTATTATAGAATGCTGATCGAATAGCCAGTTATCGAAAAACCTTGTTTCTCAATTCGAGCTAACAATTTCATGATACTGCATCAAACCAGTTATTGGCATCAGGCTAAGCTAGATATGTTGACTGAAGTATGAGATTCACATCTTTGTAAATGGAAAGCAATCTGATTAGGCAATATTTTTCTAAGTGAAAGCAAGTTAATTAGAGAAGTAAAGAAACAAAGGACGGCTACTCCAGAGACAGAGCAGTGCTTCTTTTTTTAAGTGTAGGCAAATGTTTTTTGAAGATGTGTTTCAATAAGAAAATTGGCGCTTGGGACATACTTCCACTAAATTTGAGACATTTTAGACAAAACAAAGACTTACTTTCAAGACATTATTTTTATGGCACTGAAGTCTTGGAACTATTTGATCTAGTTACTCTATGTTCTCAACTGTGTTAACTCATTGAAGAGAACATTGTTGTTATTAAAGATATTGGCAAGAAAAACTCAGAGATACTGTTGTATCTCCTTTATCTGCCTAAAACTGTTTTCTCCTCAACACGTAAGGCTCTGTGATGTCTCAAACTTTTAATCATTAATTTAAAAAGTGAAGCTTATCACAGAATTACAAAAAAACTATTTTAAAATTCATATGGATCCAAAAAAGAGTTCATATAGCCAGGAGAATCCTAAGCAAAAATAACAAAGCTGGAGGCATGAGGCTACCCGACTTAAAAGTATACTACAAGGCACAGTAACCAAAACAGCATGGTACTGGCACAAAACAGGCACATAGACCAATGAATAGAAAACTCAGAAATAAGACCACACATCTAAAACCTTGTGATCTTCAACGAGCCTGACAAAAATAATCAATGGGCAAAGGATTCCCTATTTAATAAACAGTGCTGGGAGAACTGGCTAGCAATATGCAGAAAATTGAAGCTGGACTCCTTCCTTACACCTTACCCAAAATTAACTTATGATGAATTAAAGACTTAAATGTAAATTCCAAAACTATAAAAATCCTGGAAGAAAATCTAGGCAATACCATTCAGGACATAGGGATGGGCAAAGATTTTATGATGAAAACACCAAAAGCAACTGCCACAAAACGAAAAATTGACAAATGGGATCTAATTAAACAAAAGAGCTTCTACAGAGCAAAAGAAACTATTATCAGAGTGAACAGACATCCTACAGAATGGGAGAAAATTTTTGCAATCTGTCCATCTGACAAAGGTCTCCTATTCAGAATCCACAAAGAACTTAAGCAAATTTACATGAGAAAAACAACTTCATTAAAAAGTGGACAAAGGACCTAAACAGACACTATTCAAAAGAAGACATACATGTGGCCAATAAACATAAGAAAAAAAGCTAAACATCACTGATCAGAAGAAAAATGCAAATCAACACTACAATGAGATACCATCTCATGCCAGTCAGAATGGCAATTATTAAAAGTCAAGAAACAACAGATGCTGGTGAGGTTGCAGAGAAACAGGAATGCTTTTACACTGTTGGTGGAAATGTAAATTGGTTCAACCATTGTGGAAGACAGTGTGGCAATTCCTCAAAGATTTAGAACCAGAAATACCATTTGACCCAGCAATCCCACTATAGGTTATATACCCAAAGGAATATAAATTATTCTATTATAAAGGTATATGCATGTGTATGTTCATTGCAGTACTATTCACAATAGCAAAGACACAGAATCAATCCAAGTGCCCACCAATGATGGACTGGATGGAGAAAATATAGTACATATACACTATGGAATATTATGCAACCATAAAAAGGATTGAGATCAAGTCCTTTGCAGGAATATGAATGAAGCTGGAAGCCATTATCCTCAGCAAACTCACACAGGAACAGAAAACCAAACACCACATGTTCTCACTTATAATTGGGAACTGAGCAATGAGAACACATGGACACAGGGAGAGGAACAACACACACTGGGGCCTGGTGGGAGAGGGCAGTGATGGGGGGATCATTAGCAAAAATGGCTAATGCATGCCAGGGTTAACACCTAGGTGATGGGTTGATAGGTGCAGCAAACCACTATGGCACATGTTTACCTATGTAACAAACCTGCACATGTACCCTGCAACTTAAAATCAAGTTAAATTAAATTAAGTTAAATTAAATTAAATTAAAAGACAAGCTTAAAGCATTAAAGAAAAATAATTAGATAAAAGAAGCCTTTGTCTTACAAAATCCTGAAACAATAATTTTAATTTTGCTTTTAATGTATAGCAAGTCCTTTAGTACAACTCTCTTTCAGAGGTGCCGCTTAATTCCCTCTCTTGAGTGTGGCTTGGACTTAGTGATGCACTTCTGATAGGGCCTGGCTCTGTGTTCCCACCCAAATCTCATTTTGAATTGTCTTGTGAATTGTAATCCCCACATATTGGGGGAGGGACCTGATGGGAGGTGATTGAATCATGGGGATGGTTCCCCCAAGCTGTGGAAGTCAGTGGTTGAACCTGTTTTTCCTAATGCTCCCCTCAGCACTGCCCTCCCATAATAGGCCCCGGTGTGTGTTTTTCTCTCCCTGTGTCCATGGGTTCTCATTGCTCAGCTCACAAGTATAAGTGAGAACGTGCGGTGCTTGGTTTCTCGTTCCTGTGTTAGCTTGCTGAGGACAATGGCTTCCAGCTTCATCCATGTCCCGGCAGAGGACTTGATCTCATTCCTGTTTATGGCTGCATAATATTCCATGGTGTATATGTACTATATAAGGGGATTTTCCCCACTTCACTCTGCATTTCTCTCTCCTGTCACCATGTGAAGAAGGACATGTTTGCTTCCCCTTCTGCCATGATTGTAAGTTTCCTGGGGCAGCCTCCTCAGCCTTGCAGAACTATGAGTCAATTGAGCTCTTTCCTTTATAAACTACCCAGTCTTAGGTATTTCTTTATAGCAGTGTGAGAACAGACGAATACAACTTCAAACTGATAGAGTAATGCTGACATAACAGTTTGTGACTCTGGGTGTAGAATGTGAAACTCACTGTGGCTTCCACCTTCTCTCTCTCTCTATCTCTGGGATCATGAGCTCTGGGGGAAGCCAGCTGCTGTGCAATAAGCAGCCCTGCAGGAAGGTCCATGTGGCTAAGAACTGAGGCTGCCTGGGACCAGAAAACAAGGAACTAGGCCTTTTCCAACAGCCATGTGAGTGAGCCATGTTTCAAGTGAATCCCCAGCCCCAGTGAAGCCCTCAGACAATGCAGTCCTAGGCTGACAACTGGACTGCAACCTTGTGAGAGGCCCTGAGCCAGAAGCATTCAGGGAAACCTCTCCTGGATTCCTGACCATTAGAAACTGTGAGAGATGATGAATATTTGTTGTTTTGAGCTGCTAAGTTTTACATAATTTGTTATGCAGTAGTAAATAAGTAATAAATTTTCACAAGAGGATGTATTATTACACGTTAATTTGCATTTGCTCTAAATTTATCATCATCATATTACTATTTTTGAGACAGGGTCTCACTCTGTCACCCAGTCTGGAGTGCAGTGGCATGATCATCATACACTGCAGTGTCAACCTCCTGGGCTCAAGGGATCCTCTGATCTCAACCTCCTGAGTAGCTGGGACAGCAGGCATGAATTAACACGCCTGGCTAATTTTCTATTTTTTATTCTTTTGTAGAGATGGGGGTTTCACCATATTGCCCAGGCTGATCTTGAACTTCTGCAGTCAAAGCTGCCTTCCTCTGCCTTCGAAAGTGCTAGGACTGCAGGCGTGAGACACCACACCTGGTCTAAATTAACTATAAGATAATAAACATGTAACTTAGTTTTAAAAGGTAAGGAGAATGTTCATGGCTGAAGAGGACGTCTTATTACCATTCACAATGATCACTTTACTACAACTCCAATTTCCAACTGTGTCCCAATAAAACACAAAAGGAAGGTCCAATCTTTGCTAGGCTGATTCTATGATGGCCCCAACAACCAGCTCCTGGTCATTCACCTTCCTCCAGTTATTCAACCAACTCTAATGTAGGTGCTGCTGTGAAGGGATTTAGCAGATATAATTAAGCACTTCAATTAGTTGACTTTAGGCTGACTTTCTCCTGCTTGGACTGTCCTAATCACATGAGCCCTTTAAAGGACCGGGTTCTTCCTGACCATAGAGATTCACAATGTGAGAGGGATTCAACATGAGGGGTTTCCTCCACCGTGGGCTTTGAAAATGAAGAGGCTGTGTGGGAAAGAACGCTGGTGGGCACCAGGAATTGAGCACAGCCCTCCCTGTTCTCTACAGTGACAGCCAGCGAAGTACAGCAACCTCAGTCTTACAACTGCCAGAAACTGCATTCTGCCACCTCTGTATAAGCCTGAAGGGGATTCAAAATGAAAACACAGCTTTGGGAAGCCCGGAATAGACATTCTGTCCACATCATGCTCAGATTTCTGACTAAGGAACTATAAACAGATAAACGGGTGTTGTTTGGCCAGGCGTGGTAGTGCATGCCTGTAATCCTAACATTTGAGGAGCTGACACAGGAGGATCACTTGCAGCCAGGACTTTGAGACTAGTCAGGATAATACAGTGAGACACTTGTCTCTACAGTTTTTTTTGAATTACCTTGGCATGGTGGCACTTGCCTGCAGTCCGAGCTACTCTGAAGACTGAGGCAGGAGGATTCTTCCAGCCCAGGAGTTTGAGGCTGCAGTGAGCCATGATCATGTGACTGCACTTCACCATGGATGACAGAGGGAGACTCTGTCTCTAAAAACAAATCAATGAATACAATAAATGGGTGTGTTTAAAGCCAATGTTTGTGACAATTTGCTACACAGTCTTGTAAAATTCATACAGAGACTCCAAAGACTTGTGGAATGAATTGATGAATTGATATGCACACTAGTTACATAAAATAAAATATATTTTAATTTTTTCAGTGTTTTACATTTTACAATTTTCTGTGATGCAGTTTAATACACTCATATTTCATTCAGTCAGTCAAGAAAAATTCATTTAGTCCCTACGATGAACCAGGTATGCCCTCATATGCTCAAATGCCTGACATTCTAGAAGCTTCACAAGAACAAGGTGGAGCCACTGGAGTGTTTTAGGTGGAGAAATGACACACTGTGACTCACGGACCCTGCGCAGCTACTACAACCAGAGCGAGTCCTGTGAGTGACCCCGGCCCGGGGCGCAGATCACGACTCCCCACCTCCATGCCCTACAGACGACCGGGTTACTCCTGAGTCTCCAGGTCTGAGATCCACCCCGAGGCCGCAGGACTCGCCCAGACCCTCTACCTGGGAGAAGCCCACGCGCCTTTACCAAAATCCCTGCGGGTTGGTCCGGGACTGGGCGAGGTTCGGTGGGCGGGGCTGACCGAGGGGGCGGGGCCAGGGTCTCACACCCTCCAGTGGATGATTGGTTGCGACCTGGGGCCCGACAGGCGCCTCCTCTGCAGGTGTGAACAGTTCGCCTAAGATGGCAAGGATTACCTCGCCCTGAACGAGGACTTGTGCTCCTGAACCGTAGTGGACACTGTGGCTCAGATCTCCAAGCGCAAGTGTGAGGCGGCCAAAGCGACTGAACGAAGGAGAGCCTACCTGGAGGGCACGTGAGTGGAGTGGCTCCACAGATACCTGGAGAATGGGAAGGAGATGCTGCAGCGTGCGGGTACCAGGGGCCATGGGGCACTTCCCTGATCTCCTGTAGACCTCCGAGGCTGGCTTAGCACAAGGAGAGGAGGAAAATGGGAGCAACACTAGAATAGCGCCCTCCCTCTGGTCCTGAGGGAGAGGAATCCTCCTGGGTTTCCAGATCCTGTACCGGAGAGTGATTCTGAGGGCCCGTCCTGGTCTCTGGGACAATTAAGGGATGAAGTCTCTGAGGGAGTGGAGGGGAAGACAATCCCTGGAATACCGATCAGGAGTTTCCTTTGACCCCACAGCAGTCTTAGGCACCAGGACTTTTCCCCTCAGGCCTTGTTCTCTGCCTCACACTCAATGTGTGTGGGGGTCTGACTCCAGCTCCTCTGAGTCCTTTGGCCTTCACTCAGGTCAGAATTGGAAGTCCCTGGTCCCCCGCTGAGAGATTAGAACTTTCCAAGGATTAGGAGATTATCCCAGGTGCCCGTGTCCAGGCTGGTGTCTGAGTTCTGTGCTCCCTACCCCCTTCCCCCCCTCCAGGTATCTGGTTCATTCTTAGGACGGTCACATACTGGTGCTGCTGGAGTGTCCCACGAGAGATGCAAAGTGCCTGAGTTTTCGGACTCTTCCTTTCAGACCCCCCTAATTCACACGTGACCCACCATCCTGTCTTTGACTATGAGGCCACCCTGAGGTGCTGAGCCCTGGGCTTCTACCCTGTGGAGATCAGACTGACCTGGCAGTGGGAGAGTGAGGACCAGACCCACGACGTGGAGCTCGTGGGGACCAGGCCTGCAGGGGATAGAACCTTCCAGAAGTGGGCAGCTCTGGTGGTGCCTTCTGGAGAGGAGCAGAGATTCACGTGCTAGGTGCAGCACCAGGGGCTGCCTGAGCCCCTCATGCTGAGATGGAGTAAGGAGGGAGATGGAGGTATCATGTCTTTTAGGGAAAGCAGGAGCCCCTCTGGAGACCTTTAACAGGGTGGGTGGTGGGGCCTGGGGTCAGAGACCCTCACCTTCCCCTCCTTTCCCAGAGCAGTCTTTCCAGCCCACTATCCCCATCATGGGCATCATTGCTGGACTGATTGTCTTTGCAGCTGTTGTCACTGAAGCTGTGGTCACTTTTGTGCTGTGAAGGAAGAAGAGCTCTGAGTTTTTTTGTCCCACTGAGGGTTCCAAGCCCCAGGTAGAAATGCCCTGCCTGGTTACTGGGAAGCACCATCTACACTCATGGGCCCACCCAGCCTAGGCCCTGTGTGCCAGCACTTACTCTTTTGTAAAGCACATGTGACAAAGAAGCACAGATTTATCACCTTGATGATTGTAGTGATGGGGACCTGATCCCAGTAATCACAGGTCAGGGGAAGGTCCCTGGCTAAGGACAGACCTTAGGAGGGCAGTTAGTCCAGGACCCACATCTGCTTTCCTTGTTTTCCCTTATCCTGCCCTGGGTCTGCAGTCACACATTTCTGGAAACTTCTCTGGGGTCCAAGACTAGGAGTTTCCACTAGGGCCTCATGGCGCTGCCACCTTTCTGACCTCTCAAAGGACATTTTCTTCTCACAGATAGAAAAGGAGGGAGCTACTCTCAGGCTGCAAGTAAGTATGAAGGAGGCTGATCCCTGAGATCCTTGGGATCTTGTGGTTGGGAGCCCATGGGGGAGCTCACTCAGGCAATATTTCCTCCTCTGGCCATATCTCCTGTGGGCTCTGACCAGGTCCTGTTTATGTTGTACCCCAGGCAGTGACAGTGTCCAGAGCTCTGATGTCTCTCACGGCTTGTAAATGTGAGACCCTGGGGGCCTGATGTGTGTGGGTTTTTGGGGGGAACAGTGGACACAGCTGTGCCATGAGGTTTCTTTGACTTGGATGTATTGAGCATGTGGTGGGCTGTTTCAAGTGTCACCCCTCACTGTGACAGATATGAATTTGTTCATGAATGTTTTTTGCAGTCTGAGACAGCTGCCCTGTGTGGGACTGAGTGGCAAGATTTGTTAACTCTTTCCCTTTGTGACTTCAAGAACCCTGACTTCTGTTTCTGCAAAGGCATCTGAATGTGTCTGTGTTCCTATAGGCATAATGTGAGGAGGTGGAGAGACCAGCCCAACCCCATGTCCACCATGACCCTCTTCCCCACACTGACCTGCTTTCCTTCCCCAATCACCTTTCCTGTTCCAGAAATGGGGCTGGGATGTCTCCATCTCTGTCTCAACTTTATGGTGCACTGAGCTATAACTTCTTACTTCCCTATTAAAATTAGAATCTGAGTATAAATTTACTTTTTCAAATTATTTCCAAGAGAGGTTGATGGGTTAATTAAAGGAGAAGATTCCTGAAATTTGAGAGACAAAATAAATGGAAGACATGAGAACGTTCCACGGTACACGTGTTTCTTGTGCTAATTTGTTGCAGAGGAGGAGACTAGATGGGGCTGTGCACAGTGGGTGCTCAGGCCACCATGAACTTTATGTGGTCACTGCTCAGCTGGGTCACCATTGCTGCTCCATTGTCCTTGGCCCTTCAGTAGAACCTTGTCCCACCAGGACCTGTGATCACAGGTGTTAGGCAGGAATCTAGACCCAACATGGCGGCGTTACCCGGCGTAGCAGGCCTTTTGTTCAAGACTCCCTTCACCCTTGTACACACCCGCAGACTTACATGCGTCAGAGTTCTGGCTGGGCAACCACACTCCCCCATGACCCGCAGCTCACCTGCATTCCACAAGTTCCTAAACAGCAGTTTCGGTTGACAGTTTCCAAAGATCCCTTCCTCATGACCCTTACTCAACTCCTGCCCTAGTAGTTTCAAGACCCCCCAGGCCCTGTTTGCACAACCAGCTTCCCTACCTCTCGGGCTATAAAAAGCCCCTCAGTGCTACTTCCTCGGCCCGCACCTTTGAACCAAGAAACCTCGCCTGCGAGTCCTAATAAAGGCTATTCTCACTGCCATTTGCTTGTGTCTTCATTCCCGGTTTGGCTCCAGCCTCAGTTTACCTTTACAACAGGGACTTGGATATCACCTAGGGTGGCCCCTACACATAGAAGTTCCTGTGTTATCAGAAGAAAAAAATTTTCAGACCCCTATACCTCTTCCCCTCCTTCCAGGTCTCTTTCAATTGTATTTCCATCTTTTCCCCAACCACCTTCTTTTTTTTTTTTTTTTAGAGACTGAGTCTCACTCAGGCTGGAGTGCAGTGGCACCATCTCGGCTCACTGCAACCTCCACCTCCCGGGTTCAGGTGATTCTCCTGTCTCAGTCTCCCTAGTAACTGGGACTGCAGATACGTGCCGCAACGCCCAACTTATTTTTTGTATTTTTAGTAGAGATGGAATTTCACCATATTAGACAGGGTGGTCTTGATGTCCTGACCTTGTGATCCGCCCACCTCTGCCTCCCAAAGTGCTGGGATTACAGGCATGAGCTACCAAGCCTGGCCTCCCCAACATTCTTAAAGGAAGCAGATTCTGAAACTTCCAGAGGAGAGGTCCCAGAGTTTTTCATCATAGGTTATTTTCTATTGGAACTCCTCTTCTGCTCTCTCTCCTACTCTTCTTCCTGCCCTGAGTTGTAGTAATCCTAGTGCTGGCTCCAATCCAAACTCATGGATTTGTAAAGCAGAGTCTAATTTAGATTCACATGTGGTTGGATAATTGGACCCATAAGCCTAGGGTTATCTTTCCTGAAGAGAAATATGTGTTTGTGTGCTGCAGTGTGCAGGAGGGTTGGTGTGGGAGGAGGGAGGGAGGGAGGACACAAAAGTAGCCCTGGCAAGAAAAGCACCGGTGCATTTATGTCCACATGAGATAATATTGTTCTGTAGCTGCTACAAAATGACATTTGACCTGAGGTTACATTAATAAAGATATTGCCTTTAGAATAGGGAGATGCTCTACAGTGATCATCCATTCAACTGACATTTGTTGTCTGCTAGGGATATGACTGCTTTTGCATTTAGAAAACATCATTAAAGTAAAAACAAAAACATTTCTGGCCTTGTGGTGTATACGTTCTAGATGCAAGCTTGTCCAACTCGTGGCTCTCGGGATGCATGTGGCCCAGGACAGCTTTAGAATGTGACGACTTTTTTGTTTATTTGTAGTGGCAGATATCATGAAAATTATCCACGCACCTTTTTTTCTTTTCTCTATTTTTTTCTGCTCATCAGCTGTCATTAGTATATTTTTTGTGTGGCTCAAGACAACTCTTCCCATGTGAACCAGGGAAGACAAACGATTGGACACCTCTGTAGGCAGATGATAGATATAGTATAAGCAGAGTAGGAACAGAAGATGCTGAGTGAGAAGGTGGCAAGTGCTGTGTGGCAGGTGATCCAGAGTGCGGGCTGTGGGGACAGGGAGGTGGCTGTTGTGCTGGGTGGTCAGCATGGGCCTTGTTGCAAATGTGACCTTGGAGTAAAGATTTGAGGGATGTGAGGAGTTGTCCACAGGGATGTCTGAGAAAGTTCTTTTCAGGCAGGGAACCTTCAGTGCAGATGCACTAGGGCAGGAAATTGTCTGTGTTCCTGGAAGGATGAAGAGGTCAGAAGGGTTGAACAGAGAGAAACTGAAGTGAGGTCCAAGGTGTGGCTAGAGCAGGTAGCCCTGGAGGGTGTGGGAAGGGTGTTGACCTTTGCTCTGAATGACATGGGGAGTTAGAGGACAGTTTTGAAAACTGGGACATGGTAGGACTTATCCTTTGAAAGCTTCTCTCTGGCTGCTGTGCTGAGAACAGAATTGAGAGGTGGGGACCAGTGAGGCAGTGGGGAAAACAGTGGGAAAGGAGTGGAATATTCCAGAATGGAGATGTTGCTTACCTTGACTGGGGTGTGAGCAGGGGAAATAGTGGGAAGTGAAGGGATTCTGGATGAATGTGAAGATGGACTTCACAGCACTTGCTAATGGATTTATCTGTGGTGTGAGAAGAAGAATCAAGGGCACCCACAGTGTTGGACTGAGTGAGCAGAAGGGTGGAGCTGCTGTCAGTGGAGATGGGGAGACTCTGGCAGGAGCATACAGAGGAGAGGGCGTCGCAGGCATCCAGTGGAGGAGACATCTACGAGGAATGCAGGTGAGGGGCCCAGATGCCTCTGCAGCTACAGATTCATCATCCAATCACTCTCCTACTTCCACCAGCCCTGTGTCTCAGAGCCAGAGCACTGATTCTCCCCTGGGCTGTCTGCACAGGCAGGTGAAAGTCAGGGAAGTTACGGTCTGCTGTTGGTTATAATAAGTCACAGATTATTGTGCTTTCTCAGATAATTAAAGAAATAATAAGATAATTTTTAACTAGAACACTTATTGAGAAGACCACAATAACGCAAAGATTTTATTCATCTAAAGAAGGCAACACAAGAAAAATAGTTGAGCAAGAAAGAGATAATATTAGAAGGCAGCAAATGACAATGTACAGACTTAAACCCAATGAGGTCAACAATTACATTAAACATAATGGACTCAGACACTCCAATTACAAGACAAATAGTGCAGAGGGGTAAAAATAAATAAGTAAATAAATAAATAACCGGAGGCTATTTAAAAAAGCCATAATTTCAGTAGAAGGTACAGAAAAGTTAAAAGGATAGAAAAGAAATACCAGACAAACATTCATGAAAAACCATATGGAGATGCCATTTAGAAAAATTACGGGACGTGAGTCTCCTGAGACATGCAGTACGTGCAGACAGCTCACACTGTGTTTTTCCTTTTATTCAGAGACAGGGT